TATCAGGAAAGCAGGTACTAGGGAGTTCCAGAGTGCGAACAAAGAAACTGTTGGAGTAGAATTGGCGGTTACATTTAACTATTTCAACAGTAAAAGTGTGAGATCTAGATGCCAGTCTAGTAGCACGCTTAAAATTCATGAAGCCGGTGAACCAAGGAAAACAGCTCGTTGCAACAGTTGCCATAAAAATATTTGTAGAAAATACAAAGGGAAGCTACATCACGTCAATGAAAGAGTGACTGAAGCCGAGATGCCAGGTCAGGACGATTTACATTGCAGATCCTTCTTTGGATTTTGTCGAGAACCTCGAGATGAACAGCAGGGGAACCAGATCAGATATGCCAGCACGGACGAATGGTAGATTTGTAGATGAGTAAGATGAGCTCTGACGAGAGAAATATAACCTTCTGGCACAACCCAAAGAACCAACTTTCCTTGCAGTAGATGCAGCTATTGATTCAATGTGGTTATCCAAACTCAAGTCGGTGGAAAACGTGAGGCCAAAAAGCCGCAGTGGGACGCTCTCCTGGAGTCGAGCACCAGCCATGCTGATGGTAGGCAAAGATGGTAGATGGTAGGCAAAGAAGATTCTCTATGATGATTAAAAGAGAGCAGTTTAGTTTTGGGTATTTTAAAATTACCATGCCATTTCCTGCCTCAGTTAATCACTGATTGAAGGTCTTTACTACTCAGACAGGAGTACATGTTAGTGTCGTCTGCATAATTGCCTACTTGTGGACTGACGACATCAGGAAGTTCATCAATGAAGATCAGAAACAGTGTAGGACTCAGAATAGAGCCTTGGGGAAGAGCACCCATTCAGAACAAACTTCATTTTCTAGATCTGATAGTGTTGGGATAACTGACTTCTACAAGCGGTTACCTCACACTATTACTCTACCTCCAACTCAATCTCAATCTCAATATCAATTTCAATCTCGGTACTCTCACTGACTGTCTAACTCTGGGCATTTAACGGCAGCAGTCGAGTCCACTTATATGAAAAAGGGAGGACCCCGTAGCAGATAGGAATAACTGGGTTAAATCAAATAATCGTCCTGTAACACCGTAGCCATGAAGCCTACTTAGAAGACCAGCATGCCAAAGCCTGTCAAATACCTTCACCGTTATTATCAAGGGCTTGATATACAAATTCAGTTATATCCGTAAGAACATCAGCGGTAGACCGGGCAAAACAGAAGCCATATTGTTTGTCAGAGAGTAGATCGTCAGCATTATGATGCGTAACAACTTCAGCATTGATTAAAGCCTTGAATACTTTGCCAAAAAGCGGTAGAAGACTAATAGGGCGGTAGTTAGAGGGGTCATAAGGTTCTCCAGAGTTCTTAAAAAACAGGAAGCAGCGAGGAAATAGTTGTATAGCTTGGATAGAACTGAAGCCAGCTCGGGAGCGCATTTCTTTAGGATGACGGCTGGTATTCCGTCACCTCCACTTTCCTTATAGGAGTCTAATTTAGAAATGATGTCCGAGACCAGTGACGGGGTTATGCGCATATCACTCAGCAGAGGAATCAGGTGTTGGCACTTTGGATAAGTCGAGTGTTGAGTTGGATGAGAATTTTTGAGCAAAGCTTTCAGCCTTATCTGTTATAGATGTTAGGAATTCATATTGATTGAATAGAGGAGGGGTTGAGTATTTTCTGTTGTTCAACAGACTCTTGAAGAGCCGCCAATAATCTCTAGAACCAAATTTGCGAGTTGCTATACGTTTGTTTCATTCTATCAGCAAACTTTGCTTCTTTGAGAACACGCTTGCGCTCGTTATCAGCAAAGACAAAGATCGTCTGTTGCTATTAGAAATGTCGCTCTGGTACGGTCGGAAGAAGAGATTCCTCTGGGCTATAGCGGCCGAGCAAGCAGGTGAGAACCAAGAAGATACATGCGGTTTAACTTGGTATTTCCTTGCACGAATGAAAGCATCGATGCTTGCTCCCACTCAGGCGGTGACCTCAGATGCGCATTTCTTAACAAGGTGGTTAAAAACTACATTCCAAGGAGGGAATCACGGAACGAGTCCCAGTCTGCTGTTTGATAACAGAAAGCTATTCTGTTTGTAGGAGCTTCATGGCTGGTAGCGGAACGGAAGGAGATGTTCACAGACACTACCGTGGGATCAGAGTTGACAAGAGGGCAGAGCTATGTAGCGTGACAAGAGAACGGAATTGAGATCGAGAAGAGAAGCGTTTCAGTCAGGGGTCCTGAGGAAATGTGTAGGAAAGTCAACCACATGTGTGGAGGATTGAGTGTCTGAAAAGTTAAAAGTCTGGATGCCATCGAGGTCTGTGATAGAGGGTTTAAGCTACCCGGTATGGTAGGCGTTAAAGTTACAGAACACGAATATGTTTGCAAATGGGTGTAGAGAGATGGCCTTGTCTATATTATCGGAAATAATATCTAGCATGCAACAGTCTGGAGAGGAAGGGGAACGGTAGAGAAAGAAGAGATAGCTGACTGAATTAAGTAGAGAGACGTAGACGAATTGTCTGGATCTTCAAGAGAGAGTTCCCTAGCCATCGGGAGATGCCTGCGGACATAAACTCCCAGGCCATGCATAAGCAAAAATACGTACTCTTCTATAGATTTATCATCGTTCACTTCAGTAATTTAGTAAAAATCGCCATTCTTATGACGCCTTACGCGCCATTTCCTATGGTCACGTGATCTTGTCTTTCACTGAGCAGACGATTGAGTGACGGAGTGGTTAAGTGTTGAGTAAATTGATATACTTCTTACTTTATAAGAACGCGCATTTCTGAAACATTTAATCATCAATTAATTAGTCAGACATGAAGTAAAACTATAATAATAATAATAATAATAATAATAATAATAATAATAATAATAATAATCATGAAGATGATTTTAAAAAAAAATCAAAATTATCGCTACCATATACGTTTTTATATCGCCCGACCTGACGTAAAATTCCATACAGTGTGCGTCGGAAATATCACTCACATCATGGTAAAACATTATTAGAGGCACTGATGTCTTCATTTAGCTAATGTTTTACCCATATGTGGGAGATTTTACTGCCGCACCGTGTAATTGAAAACTATGAGAGTATATTCTAATTCTTCTATAAAGTATATATATATATATATATATATATATATATATATATAAAAAGTTTCAAATTAAAAATTATAATGTTTTATTTTATGAAAGTATTTATTTATTTATATATATATTTGATATTTCAAATTGTCCTCAATTTTTCATCAGAAATAACTGTTTGTTACAAATAAATTAAAATTACTGTTTGTTAGCAAGTAGCGTCCTTCGCGAGACGCGGACGTCACGTGATATGGAACGTCACTGTTCGGATATTCCTAACTTAAATCTAACTGTCATAAATATTTAAAAAAAATTTATATATATTGAAACCCAAATATCCAATTTTCAGACATTTCTTATATTTTACATTGAGATACAACGAAATGATTGCCATTCGCCACAGATAAATATGACATTGTTTTCTTGGAAAATGGAAGTACTTAAATAAAACTTTAAGTACATATTTTTTTTCTTTTTATTTCGAATCTCTGATTTCTTCAACAGGAATAAAAGAACTGGTTGTATAGAGGGCTTCTGTTTTTAGTAATAATGATTAACTTTTCAATAAATAAATCAAGCTTGTTATATATGAACGCCTTCTTATGCCATCCATCAATATATTATTCTTAATCATTTTTAAATGATTAAGAAAGAAAATATATGTAAGTGTTAGAGAATATGAGAATATATGATTAAGTGTTAGCGAATATGACAATATATGAGTGTTAGTGATATGAGAATATGGGTAAGTGTTAGAGAATATATGATTAAGTGTTAGAGAATATGAGAATATATGAGTGTTAGTGATATGAGAATATGGGTAAGTGTTAGAGAATATGAGAATATATAATAAGTTTTAGAGAATAGAGAATATATGATTAAGTGTTAGGGAATATGAGAATATATGAGTAAATGTTAGAGAATAGAGAATATAAGAATATATGAGTGTTAGTGATATGAGAATATGGGTAAGTGTTAGAGAATATTAGAATATATAAGTATGTTTTAGAGAATAGAGAATATATGAGGAAGTATTAGGGAATATGAGAATATATGAGTAAGTGTAAGAGAATATGAGAATATATGATTAGGTGTTAGAGAATAGAGAATATAAGAATATATGAGTGTTAGTAATATGAGAATATGGGTAGTATTAGAGAATATGAGAATATATGATTAAATAAAACTTTGAGTATATATTAAGTAAGTTTTAGAGAATATGAGAATATATGATTGTGTTAGAGAATATGAGAATATATGATTAAGTGTTAGAGAATATGAGAATATATGTGTGTTAGTGATATGAGAATATGGGTAAGTGTTAGAGAATATAAGTATATATAAGTAAGTTTTAGAGAATAGTGAATATATGATTAGGTGTTAGGGAATATGAGAATATATGAGTAAGTGTTAGAGAATATGAGAACACATGAGTTAGAGAATATAAGAATATATGAATAAGTGTTAGAATATATGAAAATATATAAGTGTTAGAGAATATGAGAATATATGTTTTACTCCTTACATTTATTTCAAAATATGTAACGGCGGCAAACCGGCGTGTATCTATTTATTGATTTACTATCAACTCACACATTTTCTAGCTATGCAGATTACGCTTTACAATGACACGCCCTCATAGCATCTTCAACTATCAAGTACTTGCCAAACATCAGAGGTATTTTTTCTCAAAAATTCTAATGCAATGTAGTGAATTGTATAAATATATGTTTTGTTATGCATATTTAAATTTATTTAATAATATTGTTATAATATTTATGCATGTTTATTATTTTTCACACACATAAAATAGTTGGAATGTAATATGCAAGTGATTGCTTATATACGCAGATTGATATAAGAATGGTATTAATAACAAATGCTGAATTTCCTATTAAAAATCTCGTAAAAACACAATAAATCTAGATTGATATATAGATATGAACAGGAATAGATAGATAGATAGATAGATAGATAGATAGATAGGAACAGAGAAATATAGATTGATGTATAGATATGAACAGGCATAGATAGATAGATAGAGATGAACAGAGAAATCTAGATTGATATATAGATAGAAACAGGCATACACAGACAGATAGATAGATAGATAGATAGATAGATAGATAGATAGATATGAACAGGAATAGATAGATAGATAGATAGATAGATAGATAGATAGATAGATAGATAGATATGAACAGAAAAATATAGATTGATATATAGATATGAACAGGCATAGATAAATAGATAGATGTGAACAGAGAAATATAGATAGATAGATAGATATGAACAGGAATAGATAGATAGAAAGATAGATAGATAGAGAGATAGATAGATATGAACAGAGAAATATAGGTTGATATATAGATATGAACAGGCATAGACAGATAGATACATAGATAGATACATAGATAGATAGATATGAACAGAGAAATATAGATTGATATATAGATATGAACAAGCATAGATAGATAGATAGATATGAACAGAGAAATATACATTGATATATAGATATGAACAGGAATAGATAGATAGATAGATAGATAGATAGATAGATAGATATGAACAGAGAAATATACGTTGATATATAGATGTGAACAGGAATAGATAGATAGATAGATAGATAGATATGAACAGAGAAATATAGGTTGATATATAGATGTGAACAGGAATAGATAGATAGATAGATAGATAGATAGATAGATAGATAGATAGATATGAACAGAGAAATCTAGATTGATATATAGATAGGAACAGGCATAGATAGATAGGTAGATAGATATATATGAACAGGCATAGATAGATAGATAGATATGAACAGAGAAATATACATTGATATATAGACATGAACAGGAAAAGATTGACAGATAAATAGATAGATAGATAGATAGATAGATAGATAGATAGATAGATAGATAGATAGATATGAACAGAGAAATATAGATTGATATATACATATGAACAGGAATAGATAGATAGATAGATGTGAGCAGAGAAATATAGATTGATATATAGATATGAACAGGAATTGATAGATAGATAGATAGATAGATAGATAGATAGATAGATAGATAGATAGATAGATAGATAGATAGATATGAACAGAGAAATACAGCTTGATATACAGATATGAACAGGAATAGAATATAGATAGATAGATAGATAGATAGATAGATAGATAGATAGATAGATAGATAGATAGATATGAACAGGGATAGATAGATAGATATGAACAGAGAAATATAGATTGATATATAGATATGAACAGGCATAGATAGATAGATAGATAGATAGATAGATAGATAGATAGATAGATAGATATGAACAGAGAAATATAGCTTGATATATAAATATGAACATAGATAGATAGATAGATATGGGCAGATAAATCTAGATTGATATATAGATAGGATCAGGCATAGATAGATAGATAGATAGATATGAACAGGAATAGATAGATAGATAGATAGATAGATAGATAGATAGATAGATAGATAGATAGATATGAACAGAGAAATATAGGTTGATATATAGATATGAACAGGCATAGATAGATAGATATGAACAGAGAAATATAGATTGATATATAGATATGAACAGGAATAGATTGATAGATAAATAGATATATAGATAGATATGAACAGAGAAATATAGATTGATATATAGATATGAACAGGCATAGATAGATAGATAGATAGATAGATAGATAGATAGATAGATACTAGTGAACAGAGAGATATAGATTGATATATAGATATGAACAGGAAATATAGATAGATAGATATGAACAGGAATAGATAGATAGATAGATAGATAGATAGATAGATAGATAGATAGATAGATAGATATGAACAGAGAAATATAGATTGATATATAGATATGAACAGGCAGAGATAGATAGATAAGAACACAGAAATATAGATTGACATATAGATATGAACAGGAATAGATAGATAGATAGATAGATTGCTATATAGATATGAACAGGAATAGATAGATAGATAGATATGAACAGAGAAATATAGATTGATATACACATATGAACAGGAATAGATAGATAAATAGATAGATAGATGTGAACAGAGAAATATAGATTGATATATAGATATGAACAGGAATAGATAGATAGATAGATAGATAGATAGATAGATAGATAGATAATAGATAGATAGATAGATAGATATACAGATAAACACAGAATAGATGATAGATAGATAGATAGATAGATAGATAGATAGATAGATAGGAACAGGAATAGATAGATAGATAGATAGATAGATAGATAGATAGATAGATAGATAGATAGATAGATAGATATGAACAGAGACATATAGGTTGATATATAGATATGAACAGGCATAGATAGATAGATAGATATGAACAGAGAAATATAGATTGATATATAGATATGAACAGGCATAGATAGATATATAGATAGTTAGATAGATATGAACAGAGAACTATAAATTGATATATAGATATAAACAGGCATAGATAGATAGATAGATAGAATAGATAGATAGATAGATAGATATGAACAGAGAAATATAGATTAATATATAGATATGAACAGGAATAGATAGATAGATAGATAGATATGAACAGAGAAATATAGCTTGATATATAAATATGAACATAGATAGATAGATAGATAGATAGATAGATATGGGCAGATAAATCTAGATTGATATATAGATAGGAACAGGCATAGATAGATAGATAGTTAGATAGATAGATAGATATGAACAGGAATAGATAGATAGATAGATAGATAGATAGATAGATAGATAGATAGATAGATAGATATGAACAGAGAAATATAGGTTGATATATAGATATTAACAGGCATAGATAGATAGATAGATATGAACAGAGAAATATAGATTGATATATAGATATGAACAGGCATAGATAGAATGATAGATAGATATGAACAGAGAAATATAGATTGATATATAGATATGAACAGGCATAGATAGATAGATAGATAGATACTAGTGAACAAAGAAATATAGATTGATATATAGATATGAACAGGAAATATAGATAGATAGATAGATAGATAGATAGATATGAACAGGACAAGATAGATAGATAGATAGATAGATAGATAGATAGATAGATAGATAGATAGATAGATATGAACAGAGAAATATATGTTGATATATAGATGTGAACAGGCATAGATAGATAGATATGAACAGAGAAATATAGATTGATATATAGATATGAACATGCATAAATAGATAGATATGAACACAGAAATATAGATTGATATATAGATATGAACAGGATATAGATAGATGCTATATAGATATGAACAGAATAGATAGATATAGATATGAACAGGAAATAGATATATACATATGATAGATAGATAAATAGATAGATGAAACAGAGAAAATATAGATTGATATATAGATATGAACAGGAATAGATAGATAGATAGATAGATAGATAGATAGATAGATAGATAGATAGATATGAACAGAGAAATATAGATTGATATATAGATATGAACAGGCATAGATAGATAGATAGATAGATATAGATAGATAGATAGATAGATAGATAGATAGATAGATAGATAGATACTAGTGAACAGAGAGATATAGATTGATATATAGATATGAACAGGAAATATAGATAGATAGATATGAACAGGAATAGATAGATAGATAGATAGATAGATAGATAGATAGATAGATAGATAGATAGATAGATATGAACAGAGAAATATAGATTGATATATAGATATGAACATGCATAAATAGATAGATATGAACACAGAAATATAGATTGATATATAGATATGAACAGGAATAGATAGATAGATGGATTGCTATATAGATATGAACAGGAATAGATAGATAGATAGATAGATATGAACAGAGAAATATAGATTGATATATACATATGAACAGGAATAGATAGATAAATAGATAGATAGATGTGAACAGAGAAATATAGATTGATATATAGATATGAACAGGAATAGATAGATAGATAGATAGATAGATAGATAGATAGATAGATAGATATGAACAGAGAAATATAGCTTGATATACAGATAGGAACAGGAATAGATAGATAGATAGATATGAACAGAGAAATATAGATTGATATATAGATATGAACAGGCATAGATAGATATATAGATAGTTAGATAGATATGAACAGAGAACTATAAATTGATATATAGATATGAACAGGCATAGATAGATAGATAGATAGAATAGATAGATAGATAGATATGAACAGAGAAATATAGATTGATATATAGATATGAACAGGAGTAGATAGATAGATAGATAGATATGAACAGAGAAATATAGCTTGATATATAAATATGAACATAGATAGATAGATAGATATGGGCAGATAAATCTAGATTGATATATAGATAGGAACAGGCATAGATAGATAGTTAGATAGATAGATAGATATGAACAGGAATAGATAGATAGATAGATAGATAGATAGATAGATAGATAGATAGATAGATATGAACAGAGAAATATAGGTTGATATATAGATATGAACAGGCATAGATAGATAGATAGATATGAACAGAGAAATATAGATTGATATATAGATATGAACAGGCATAGATAGAATGATAGATAGATATGAACAGAGAAATATAGATAGATATATAGATATGAACAGGCATAGATAGATAGATAGATAGATAGATAGATACTAGTGAACAGAGAAATATAGATTGATATATAGATATGAACAGGAAATATAGATAGATAGATAGATAGATAGATAGATATGAACAGGACAAGATAGATAGAGATAGATAGATAGATAGATAGATAGATAGATAGATAGATAGATAGATAGATAGATAGATATGAACAGAGAAATATATGTTGATATATAGATGTGAACAGGCATAGATAGATAGATATGAACAGAGAAATATAGATTGATATATAGATATGAACATGCATAAATAGATAGATATGAACACAGAAATATAGATTGATATATAGATATGAACAGGAATAGATAGATAGATAGATTGCTATATAGATATGAACAGGAATAGATAGATAGATAGATAGATAGATAGATAGATAGATAGATAGATATGAACAGAGAAATATAGGTTGATATATACATATGAACAGGAATAGATAGATAAATAGATAGATAGATGTGAACAGAGAAATATAGATTGATATATAGATATGAACAGGAATAGATAGATAGATAGATAGATAGATAGATAGATAGATAGATAGATAAATATGAACAGATATATAGATTTGAACATAGATAAACAGATAGATAGATAGATAGATAGATAGATAGATAGATAGATAGATAGATAGATAGATATGAAAAGAGATATATAGATTGACATATAGATATGAACAGGAATAGATAGATAGATAGATAGATAGATAGATATGAACTGAGAAATATAGATTCTGTCTATATTTCTGAGATGAGGTATTATGTACAGTATTTACATTAGTCGGACTATTGTCCTCATCTTTGTCGCCATATTTGTCACAACTCCCTCCCATTCCTGGATGTACTAATATCTCGAACAGAGCATGGTTTCAAGACATCCGTATACCGTAAACCAACATTCACCGGACAGTATCTCAATTTCGACTCCCACCATCCATACAGCGTAAAAAAGGGATCGCCCGATGCTTACAACACCGGGCAAAAGTCATAAGTGGCGATCCAGAGACGTTATGTAAGGATTTGGTCAGTATAAGTAGTACCCTACAATGTCACAACTACCCTGGGTACATGGCAGCAGCTCCCCAAAACTGGGATAGGCGGGTACAAGAGGAGGAGGAGGAGGAGGACAACAACACTCAGAAAACAGTCTGCCTGCCTTATGTGAAGGGGTTATCAGAGAAAATACAAAGGATCTGCGGTCCATATAACATCAGGACGACCTTCAAAAGCGTGACAACACTTCGCAGATATCTCTCTCGAGTGAAACCCCCCACAGAGAGGAACATGACTAAAGACTGTGTGTACGCTATCCCGTGCAGCTGCGGAAAGAAATATAAAGGAGAGACATTCCGCCCCCAAAAGGTAAGGCTTCAAGAACACCAGAAAGCTGTAACACGGGGGAAGTAGAAAAATCAGGCGTGGCTGACCACATATGGAGAGAGAAGGAGATCACCGCCCCTGTGGGATCATGTTGAGATCATAGACAGGGAACACCATTGGAAAATTCGTAAACTTAAGGAATCAGCACATATGCTAGGCCACAAAAATCTCCTGAGCCGACCAAGCATAGAAATAAATACAATATAGGAACCAGTAATAAGGAGTGCCAGAGAAAGCAATGATAACAAAGTTGCAATATGAACTCTGGTAAAGACATGTAATGATAACAGCAAAATTGCAATATGAGCACTGGTCAAAATGATGCTGAAAACATTAGGTTTATAATACTCAGATGTTCATACCCAGATGTCGTCAAGGACACATAGCACAGTGGATAATGGCGTTGGTTGGATCCAGTGACAGACCCAAAGGGGGTGAGTTCAATACCTGGTTAAGGCAGTGGGAAAATTAGCAGGAGATAACTGATAACTGACATCCATCAAACATGGCACGTGGAACTAGAACAGTCTACCCCAGTGATCGAAATAAAGGGTTCAGTTCGAAATTCCAACCACCTGAAGAAGGCCGGAGCGTACAACGGCCGAAACGTTGTGAGAAATATGGTGAGGACAATAGTCCGACTAATGAAAATACTGTGAGAAATAGATTGATATATAGATATGAACAGGAATAGATAGATAGATGTGAATAGAGAAATATAGATTGATATATAGATATGAACAGGAATAGATAGATAGATGTGAATAGAGAAATATAGATTGATATATAGATATGAACAGGAATAGATAAGTAGATAGATAGATAGAAATAAACTGAGATGGATAGATAAATGGCACAGTTTCTATTAATTTTAACCGCAACTTTTACTCGTTTTCTTCACTCTTTGAAATAACTTAAGTCGTATAAAAGAAAACATGTACTATTCTTCCGACTACTCACGCTATATAATGTATAGTTTTAATGTCGATAGATTTTTTTCTTTATTTTTATCCACAATTCTTCAACAAGAAATAAAAAAAAACTGAAATATTTTATAACGGTTTTTTACTATTACTAACAATATTTATCATATTCTTGACGTAAATTCGACATCGATTATATTTAAATGGGTTTTTATCCCGATTTTTAAAAACACCCGACATTATTTTCTAAAAAATAAATAAAATCCACGACCACTTTGAGAATCCTCATAGTGGTCGCCATGGAATCGAGGGTTGAGTGCTTAGAAAAGAAAACGCCTGGACGATTGCGTAGCCGATGAGTTGACACGTGACCGATCCGATCTTCTGTGTGTTGCGACGCTGATAAGCGGCCAAGGTGTATCGCACAGACGCAGCAAAAAGCGAAGCGCAGGGGTGGCGTGGGAGGCGCAGGTGGGATGAGTGGGAGGGGGGATATACGGGTTCTGGGCAAGATGAAAGAGGGTGGAGGCAAAATAAGAGTCAAAGCCAACTCTATCCCAAACTGCCATTAATGTGTGCGTGCCAACGATAAAAACGCAAAACCAATGCGAAGGACCATCTCCAGTGATATGCACACAATTAAAAACGTACATGTATGAACAAAGGAGACATTGCGCTTTTCCGAACAGATGCGCATGTACAACCTTTAAACGTGAGTGTAGGTATTTAAGTCTGGCACTGGACTAGATGTGTAGGGGAGGATATTGTGAAGACTAGGAATCTGACTTTTGTAAAGTTTAGTGATGCTATTTTACTGAGATTTAAGGGAGAGATAGTTAAGAAATTATTTTAAACTGACAGTTATAGAGAATTGTGTGCATACAGTGAGGATCGAACCCGCTACACGGAAGGTCTACAAGATTCGCTAAGATTAGCTCGAACTCATTTCAGTGGTAAAACCGAATTAAAATTGTGTACTAAATACGACTCTTTGCAGAAACCATATATATATATATATATATATATATATATATATATATATATATATATATATATATATATATATATATATATATATATATATATATATATATATATAGAGAGAGAGAGAGAGAGAGAGAGAGAGAGATAAGAACAGAGTGAGAAATATAAATTAATATATAGATATGAACAGGCATAGATAGATAGATAGATAGATAGATAGATAGATAGATAGATATGAACAGAGTGAGAAATATAGATTGATATATAGATATGAACAGGCATAAATAGATAGATAGATAGATAGATAGATAGATAGATAGATAGATAGATAGATAGATAGATATGAACAGTGAGAAATCTAGATTGATATACAGATATGGACAGACATAAATAGATAGATAGATAAATAGATAGATAGATAGATAATGAACAGTGAGAAATCTAGATTGATATATAGATATGAAGAGCAAAAATAGATAGATAGATAGATAGATAGATAGATAGATCGATAAAAATAAACTGGGATAGATAGATAGATAGATAGATAGATAGATAGATAGGAATTAGACGAAGTATATAGAAATAAATATTATGAACAGATGTAGAGAGATGAACTTTCAGATGTGAATAGAATGTAATAGATAAATAAAACCACAGAAATTGAAGTGCTCATTGTAAAATCTTTTCACATGGATCGAACTCCGTTAGAATAAAATTATGATTTGTCGCAATTTTATCTTTTATCCAATTCCATGTTAGTCGCCGATGGTTACGTTCTAGTATTACCTGTAGACCTCCGATGTTTATGCCAGCACCTAATCTTTGTCTGGAAACAACGTATTCCTGGTACATTCTTACATTCTAAATCAACAATAACAAAAACAAGACAAAAAGTGAGAACATTTGCCACCAAAGCGTTAGTGTCTGTATTTGTGGCCCAACAATCGTTCAGCATCCATTTCATGTCTAAAGCAGCTTCACTATCAACGTATTTGTGTTTGTTTCTAAGATCAGATTCAGATCCACACAACATCACACATACAGAACAAGGAACAGTACATCTGGGGAAAATATGTTAGAAAGGTTTTCAAAAGTTGCAACGCCAATTAAGCAATAAATTAAATTTGGATATTGCTATGATATATATATATATATATATATATATATATATATATATATATATATATATATAAGGCAGGATGTGTGCGTGTGTGTGTGTGTGTGTGTGTGTGTGTGTGTGTGTGTGTGTGTGTGTGTGTAACGAATGCACAGCCGCAATTTTCGACGGATTTGCACCAAAGTTTACATGCACATGCTCCAAGTTAGCGAGATTTTTTAATGCTTCTACAGCAGTTTCATGTGGTTGCGGCCCATTTTCTACTGGCCAGGTGAGAGCCTATAGCTGGCTGCCACGAATAGGCAGGAAGATTCTATTAGCCAGCGTGAGAGCCAACAGCTGACTGACACGAATGTTAACTAGCTGCAAAAAAAAAAAATCGATAGCTGCATTCGTCACAAGTGGAAAAAATTTAAATCTGCATGGCACTTTACTCCAATTGGCTCATTCGCTTGCTTAAACTCAACGTTGATTCTGATTCCGCAGAACTGGGTTGGGTGTGAAAAAAAATTTGTTGTTAACATTCTTTTTCATTCGGTTTTTCCAGTTACGAGTGCTTTTTTTAAAGCTGATCGTTTTGTGTTCATTTTGTTTAGTTCTTTTTTTTCGTAACAGATTTAATGTTTAGTATAGAGCTTAGAAAAAATTCGCAGTGAGATAGGCAAGAAGTAAGGCATGTAGCAACATCAGCACGGCAATGGGCACTCCTTTAAAGGCAAGGAAGGGCAAAAATATTTTAAGCGATTGCTGTATGAGTCGTACGATTTTTAATCAAGCACGGGCAACGCCGGGCCATGCTGCTATATATATATATATATATATATATATATATATATATATATATATATATATATATATGTTATTATATAGCCATTACATTATATATATTATATATAATATATTGCTATTATATATATATGTATATATATATTATGCTATTGCTAATATATTGAAGGATTTTAGGTGAGATGGATAAATTGTCGTCTAAAATATGCAAAAATGAAAATAACACTGGCATCCCATTTTAACAGATATCTTTACCAAAATTACACAAAAAATATCTTGAAATACTTTAAAGTAAATTAAGTAAATTCATTTAATAAAATCGCCATTGGATTCACCCACGGCCTCCAGACGACTTCGGAATCCCCTGCAAATCTTTTGGACGTCTTCTTGTTTAAGTTGGTGAATGCTGCCATAATCCTTGCCTTCAGTTCATCTTTGGTGTTACAAGGAATTTTGTTGGTCTCTCGCTCAACTGCACCCACAGATAATAATCAAGGGGGTTGCAGTTTGGGGTGTTAGGTGGCCAGATGTAAGGATTGATGTGGTTGCAGAAATTTTTCTGACCGCCATAATTGGGTTCTTCTCCTTGTGCAACACGGTGCAGAATCCTGTTGACAGACACAGGTTTTTCCAGCAGCCACCCTCTTGATCTAGGGAAGCACTATCTCCCTGGCTATGAACTTGATTGGCTTGTAGAGATCGTTTTCAATCATGGCCTGAATCTCACCAACAAATTCGGGAGTTCTTTTCTTATCAGAACGATCAGAGTGATTTTTTTTTTCTAGCTAACGTACCTTCGTAATCACCCTTAATCTCATCCAACTCTTTCTAAATCATCCGCACTGTCCTCAGATTGACACTCAAACACTCTGAATTGTTCGTATTGGAGATTCCGGTGCGAATGCCAAGCAGTACAGCATGCCGTTTCCAAATATTGCGCCATTATGCTCCTTTTCTCACAGATGGTGCCCAACTGACCCTACTATACTGTGCAGTCGACAAAATCAAAAACAAGCAAGGCGCATGCGCGAAATTAAAAATATAAAATGGCGAAACTTTACCCTTCACACCCTATATATAGTGCCGTGCAGAAGTAAGTGAAGCCCTAAGATAATATTTAAAATAATTGTCTCTTTTTTCCCAGATAATCAACAAATCTTACCTAAACAATGTATTCGTTAAGAAAAACTTTTATTAAAGGAATTACGAAGATTTTTATCAAGCGAAAAATATTAATTGAAAATTAAGATGTGCAAAAGTAAGTGAAGCCTTAACTTTATACTGTGTATTTTTGTATTTTCTCAAATAATTTTTTATGAACATGTAAAAATCCAAATGACACGTGTTCGTTTTTTGGTAAGCTGAATATAGTGCATTCAAACAATGTAAATCATTGTGTATGTAAAAGTGTGCAGTTAGAGACTAAATTTATATATGTATATATACATACATATATCAAGTATATGGTGCAGTTCAATTTACATTACCATATTAGTACAAAAACGCACAATCTTAAAATTTAAAAATTCAATCTCAACGTTGCGACTGCACGCTCCAAAAAATTTCTTACAATTTACAATAACACATTTCTAAAAACTTATTTTCGGATTACATCTATTTTTTCGTTGTCCTGATATTACCGGGAAGTAAAAAGCAAAACAAATAAATTTCCATACCTGATGATGTCTGTATGTACAGATGAAAGCTTGTAAAAAAATAAGAAAAGACCTTATGCAACTGGAATTTATAAACAGGGATTATATCATTCATATACAGGTTCGGGGTTAATGTACTTCATTAAATTTGTTTGCGAGGATCTATTCTCGCCATTTATATCATTAACTTCTATATTTTTGTATGAATGATTAATGTAATTAATATATATATATATATATATATATATATGCAAAGATCAAAATAACTTCCAAAAGCTTTAAAAATCGCTTAGTTAAAACCTATAAAGATGGAGAAGGCTACAAAAAGCTATCAAAACGATCTGGAGTGTACTTCTCCATCGTGCAAGAAATTATATATAAATGACGACATCACAATCAAGAAGTGGCCGTCCGCGAAAAATAACGGCAAGAGCAAGTAGCCATCTAGTTCAGCAATCTCAGGCAAATCCTGCTATAACCGTCGCAGTTCTCCAATGGTCACTGGCTAATGTCGGAATGAATGTGTATACATATACAGTGAGACGAAATTTGAACAGTGTGCATCTTTATGGCAGAATACTTAGAATAATCCACTGCTTACGAAATAGCACAAGCATGCTCGCCTCAACTATGCCAAACATCATATTAATAGGCTAGAAAGATGCTGGCAAATGATGTTACGGTCGCATAAGTCCAAACTAGAGATTTTTGGGAGGAACAATAGATGGTATATCTTGCTAGATATTTGTAATACGTCTTTTGAAGAGAAGAATTTGATACCAACCATTAAACATGGCGGTGATAGCACTATGATTTGGGGCTGCTTTGCTGCAGCTGGAACAGGCAAAATAGTACTCATTCATGGTACAATGGACTCTGCAATACACCAAGCAATCTTGAACGAAAGTGTATTGTCCTCGGTTCAAAAGTTGGGTTTAGGTCGGCGCCGGAACTTCCAAGTCAATGATCTGAAACATAAAACCAAATCCACAAAAGAATGGGTTCTTAAAATGAAATTTCAACTTTTAGAACGCTCTAGAGAAGGACCTGATTTAAACCCATTTGAAAATCTTTTATTCAAGTGAAAGAAGGCAGTGCATGAAAGAAACCTAGGTAATATCAAGCAACTGTGGGAGTTTTGCCAAGAAAAAGGATCAAAAAATAGACACTACTGCCAGAAACTTCTTAAAAATGAATGAAAAACACTGGTTTGCAACGTAACCTCAAAAGGAGCAGTCACCAAATAAATAAAAAAAATGAGACTATTTTTTTAAATATTATCTTCGGTGTTCACTTACTTTTTGACAACAATGTATATATATATATATATATATATATATATATATATATATATATATATATATATTTATGAAAAACTAGGTAATCCCATACGGAAGGATAAAATCCAGAGAGCTCAATGTAAATCCAGAGCAAATAATTTAAATAAAAACAGATCACTTTTTAAGGTTCCATTTAATAAATTATTTCGTCACAGCCCTTTTAATTTTTTTTTTGTTTGTTTGTTTCAACCTTTGGAAGTAAAGTCTGATGATCCGCAGTCCTTTAAAAGGGCTGTGGTGAAATAATTTATTACATGGAACCTTAAAGTGATCTGTTTTTATTTAAATTCTATATATATATATATATGTGTGTGTGTGTGTGTGTGTGTGTGTGTGTGTGTGTGTGTGTGTGTGTGAGAGAGAGAGAGAGAGAGATATATATACATATTCAGTACTTGAAAATTTTAAATGAAAATTTCCTTCATAAATTGGCTTGTTACAGTTAAGGAAGGTTTTACAAATTGTTGAAGGCCAAGTAAAATGCAGATTTCAAACACTTTTCTGCACTATATAAAACAATATTCCTAAACAGAACTATTTTTTATATGAAAATCAAAACAATCCTCGAATAAAATAACAGTAATAGACAATTAATTAATTGAATAATTGTTTTTTTTTAGAATCAATATGCAAATTAGTTAAGCCAGAAGAGTGAAATTACCTAGAAGTAGATGATATATAACACGGATATTGAGCGTTTAGTGCATAAATTGCTATAAAGTCAAGCTTGATTTTTTTTTAATCTTAATGTGTGTGTGTGTTATCACTTTACGTTATTTTTAGTGGATAATCATATTTCAGTAGACATTACGTTTGGTTATTAAACAGTATATTTATTTATTTTCATCTACCGACCAGACAGCGCATATATTTGGACTTCTTTCTCTCATTAGCCAGTGTAATAAACTCTCCCTACGACACCGACAATTCCCAAAATGATACACTGCTTCGTGTTGTCGGAGTGCAATATCAAATCTGGTCTCAGCGATGTTACGGCTATGTGTCTGGTGAACTTCAGCTGGGTCTCTAGGTCCACTATCAACTGCCAATCGTCTGCGGAAGATAACCGGCTTGTTCTTTCTCTCTTCTCTGTTTCTGCATCTTTCCTCCAGCTTTGATGAAATTAATTTGATTCAACTTTTGCTGATTGATGCTTATTGGAACTTCCAACAAGTCAATGATCTGAAACATAAAACCAAATCCACAAAAGAATGGGTTCGTAAAATGAAATTTCAACTTTTAGAACGCTCTAGTGAAGAACCTGATTTAAACCCATTTGAAAATCTGTTATTCAAGTGAAAGCTTATAGCTTTAGTTACCTCATTTGCAATTGCTTTGAGTGCTTGGTCGTGGTGCCACACAAAACAAAATATTTGGGTAGAAATTATATTTTAATTAAAACATTCATATCTTGCAAACGATCTAAGTTTTAAATATACATATATATAACACGTTGCCTAATCTGAACTAACCCCAACTAAACCTCACCAAAGAACAATTTTTCCGATTTATCAGTATATGAAACAAAACATTTGGATATGAATCTATGTTTTTGATGTAATAGTTTCTTTGTTTTAATGCCAGGTCATTTCAGGAAGAAGGAAATCATGGCTCTCCATAAATTCCTTTCTTTATTATCTGTAAATTGCCATGGATTTCTCTGGTAATATAGTGGAGTAGTTTTTCAGTGCCTTCTATAGTTTTATATTCAAAGTACCGACCATCATCCAAAGCTTTTGGGCAGCTACTCAGGATGTGTTGTAATGATCCTTTCCCTGCACATAGTTGGCACTTGGGGGGTATCGCTCTTCCCCCATATTTGCAAGTTAGTTGGGCTCGGTAGGACATCATAGACTGATTTGATCAGAAATCTAATCTGGCTAAAATCTGATCACCAGGACTCTGATCCCTGCTGACTTAGACCGACTATTCTACAGTGTCGTGCTTCTTCAACGCCTGCACGGACTTCATCTTGGATGTTTTGGCGCCTTTCTTTGCCTTCGGCAACGTGGGCTGGGGAAAAACCCCAATCCCCGCTTTGCCTTTAGCTATTGACCCCAGTATAGCTTTATGGCTAAGTCTCTCCTCCGCCACTCGCAACTCTCCTTCCGTGCTCCATTTCCTGCCAGATCTTGTCTGCATTCCAGCTGCTACCAGTTTTGGATCTTTGGATTCTGCATACAGTAGCCGTTCTCTCGTTTTCGTGACTTTGGATTCTTCTACAAGGCTAGTAAAGGGGAGGCGCAATGCGTTGCTGTTACCATAGGGGGACCGCACTCCTTAAGCATCTCGGCAAATCCAGCCACCTTCTCAACCGATTACTAATCGCTCTTTCTAACATTTCCACGGTGTTAATAGGAACATTATAGACTAGCAATGGCTACAATATCCGGGGCAATACTGAATGCTGGAAAAGCCATGCCTTGAAACATCCTGGCAATCTTGATTTGTCGATCTTCGTCACCACTCCTCAAGATCCTTTTTAATCTGTTGGATCACGGCTTTATCCTGTTACAGTTTTTTGTGTATATACTATGTAACTAGTGAGCCAATCAAAATACCCTGGCTCACTTTATAGTCTACCAATGGAAGCTCAACCAATCATAAGCCGCAGAACATTGTATCCGTCGTGTATAAAGGCGGCCATTTTTGTTTTACCTACCGGAATGACCAGTGCCAACTTGTCAGGCGAATATGAATAAGGAAGAACTACGCTCTGCTACTTTGCTGCGATATCCACTGCGAACCTGAGCTACGCTTTCCTACTGTCTCCGAAATATTCACTGCTAACCTCTGGATTCTATACTCGAAGACGACCGTCATGAATTTGTACAGTCTTGCCCAAGCTCTTCACAGGCTTTTCGATCAGGTTAGGAATTGATGCTCCTGCAAATGAAAATCGGACTTTTTCCATGACCTTGCCTCTTTTCAATACTAGGGGCCTAGATTTAGCTGACTTGAATTTAATTCTGGCCCACGTCATATTTCTTTGAGACCCTTTAATAGACATCTGCCTCCGGTGACAGATGTCGCTGTTACGGATAAATCATCCATATAAGCACTTATCGGTGCCTGGCGGACTCCTGATTTAGACGACTTGACTTGACTTGTATCGGTTTTCACTCTGCTCGCGTTGAACCGGCTTCCTCCCGAGCAAGTACAGCATCACGGATCATCGCTGCCCATGCTCGCCGATCCTGAGCCAGGTCACATGAAATGGCGAGCCAATCGCGATTCCATCGTCGAAGACCAACTACTTGTGGACCCGATAGTACTGCTAGGTCATCCTTGATTGTGCCAGCCCACGTCCTCAGCTGTCCACCGACATGCTTTCGCCAACCAGGAAGAGAAGGAGGGAGAAGTACATCGCGGATGAGCTCTCCACCCGGGCGTCGAGCTGCGTGCCCCAACCATCGGAGACGACGCTGGAGCAGGACGAGTGGAAGAGGACGGAGACTCAGACGACGACGTATAGTGGTTGTGGGCACACGATCGATTCGGAGGCATCGTAGAATGCAGCGAAGGCAATCGTTGTCGAACACTTCAAGCCTTCGTAGGTCAACCGCTCTAAGTGGCCACATTTCGTAGCCATAGAGAAGGATATTCCGAACAATAGCCTGATAGATGCGCCCCTTCGTAGCCGTGGAAATCTCCCGTCGTCCCCATAGTGACCGCTTGAGACCCACGAATGCGGACCTTGAAGCTCCTATACGACGTTCAACATCAGCAGCAGCCTGCCCGGATGGTATGATGGTTGAACCGAGATAGACGAAAGACTGCACGTCCTCCAGATTGACCCTGTCCAGCGTCAGTGGCTGCCAGTTGATTGGATCAACCAGGGACGACATAACTTTGGTCTTCGAGGCATTGATGGTCATACTCACATCCTGTGCTGCAGCTTGCACATCGTCACAGTTCGATCCGACCGAGACAATGTCGTCCGCGTAGGCCAGATCAGACACCCTGACATTCCGACCAACCGCAACGTAGTTCCGAAGGGCCTTGCCGAGGATGTAGTCGATTGTATAGTTAAAGAGGGTAGGGGATAGGGCACACCCTTGCCGCACACCAGTCTTCACCTCAAACGTCTCCGACTCCCCACTATAAGCACGAACACGGACTCGCGTAGACCGGTAGTAGCCCTTGATGAGACGAAGGAGTTTAGCGGGCATGCCATCGGCCTCTATGATACGCCAGAGTGAGCCTCTATCAAGTCGAAAGCAGACGCAAAGTCGACGAAGCAGAGGACTGTTAGTTGCTGGTATACCCAGCGTTATTCGAGGGTGCGCCGCAGGCTGAAGATCTGATCAATACAGCCTCTGCCTGGGCGGAAGCCACCCTGATTTAGACACAGGGCTTCGACATTCAACCTCTGTTGCCATTACCATCATGTTCATGGTCAATGAAAATAAGACAGCAGACATTGTACAACCTGTGATTATACCCTTTTGCAGTGTTACCCATTCCGAGGCTGTTGTACCTTCGCCTACTTCCAGCCGGAAATTCTCGTAGTAGTTTACTATGAGATCGCAAAACTGAAGGAGATACGTGATGTCTCTTTAGAGTTTCCTCGACCAGTTTGTGTGGCATGGACCCGTAGGCATTGGCGAGATCTAACCCCAATACAATCAGGTCCCCTTTGCTTTCCTAAGCTTCTATTAGAAGCTGTTGTCAAGACTCTTGTATACTCAAGGCAACCTGGCATTCCGACGACCCCGCCTTTCTGGACCCGATGTGTCAATATAGCCATTTCTGAAAATGAAGTTCGAAAGGCGTCTTGAAAATAATCCGAAAAAGATCTTACTCTCGGTGTTCGGCAAAGAGATAATGCGAACTTGGTCCAGGGACTTTGATTTTTCTTCCTTCGGTATCCACCCATCCTCAGTGAATCTCCACTGCTCTACGATCCTGACTCTTTTACAGATTACTCTTAATATTTTCCACAAACTTTGGAGAATTCCTTTACACCGCTTGTACACGATATAAGTTACTTCGCTCGGTTCAGGTGCTGAACCGAGCGGAGGCACGGTGGAGTAATGGGTATCGGCTTGGATTGAGGAATCAGAGAGCCAAGTTCGAATTCCAGTCGAATTCATTACATTCACTTACGTGCTAATACCCTTGGGAAAGGTGTGAATCCTCTTCTTCTCCCTCCAGCTATCGATAAATAGAAGGACAGACTGGGTTCTATAGCATCGGATGGCCACTGGTCTAGAAGAAGGAAAACTCTGAATTCAAAACCTGCGGAGGGTGAATGGAGTCTCTCTGAGCCTTGGTTGGCAGTCCATTTAGTGATGGTGTCACGATAAAAACACCCTTGATAGCCCTAGCGAAGCATCAAGAATTCAGCTATTTGACAAGATCACGAACTACACCAATCAAAGTATTAGCTATGACAGATAAGGAATACTGGAAAGGTGTAGTGAGTTCAATCTCGGCTGAGGCCGCAAGATGATGATGATCAGGTGCTAAGCCGGATCTGGTTGCTCTCACAACTTCTTTTATTTCTTTCCAGGTGGGCAAGCAGGTGTCAAATTGGAACACTGAAGAATCAAACGGGTATTTATATCTAGTTCTTCTTCTTTTGCCGGATCACTCATGGAATTTCGGAGGTAGTTGTTAATTTCTTCCTGAGATGCCTCCAATTTTCCATTGCCTTTATCTTCTAGCAATGTTCCTGCGAAGCCAAATGGGTTGGACACGAAATTCGCTTGCTTCTTTGCTTTTTCTTTTCTTCTCCCCCTATGCCAACTAAACGCGCCGCATAGTTTTTAATTTCCCTCTGAGTATTCCTCGGAGCTCTTCGAGGGGTTGGCGTTCCTCTATGCTTGCCCTTTTAAAAAAGCTTCTTAAGGGATCTTATTTCTTTTCTTAATTCTTTAATTCTTCTCGCCCTACGGTTGGCAGTGTAGGGCGTCTTTGGCTGACGGGGCTCGACGAAACCAAATCTCTCGCACGCCATGCTAGTTATTATTGTAGCAGTGAACTTTAAGAGACTATCCACGTATTGTGGCTGACTGGAGTATCTCTCAAATGCCCGCGTCGAAATCCTGCCAGGCCCCCTTCACTGGGGGCCACTTTATCTTCTTTCAGGGCTCCGTGCCCTGAGTGAGAGAAACTGTAGCTTGAGAGACGGGACACTGTGGTATCACCCTGGTCTCGCACCTCCTCCATTTTACCAGGGATTGTACCTGCACGTTGCTCCTGGTTTTCCTCCTCAAAAGGCATATATATATATATATATATATATATATATATATATATATGAATTGATCGTATTTACGATTCCAATGGAATAAATTATGACCATGGAATAATAGTGTTTAAGCCTTTTATATATATATATATATATATATATATATATATATATATATAATGTAACAAATATATAAACGCATAGAGACTCACAGGCGCAAATAAGCTTAACGTCAATATGGCCGCATCCTGTGTCAAATTAGTCGCATGCGCACACATGACAACATCGCGATCTTATGGTTAATCTGTTTATATAATTAAAAGAATAAAAAAAAAAACTAAGGAAAAAAAAGAATAACTACAAAAAATGTTTTCAATTCTTCAACGTCTAATATTTCGGGTTTTTTTAATTTTTTTTTTTTCCGTTTTTCTTTCGTTCATTTTATTTTGTACTGTTTGTACTGTTGTCTCCTCATTATTATTGCTGTCGAATGGGCTTTAGGGTAGTAAAATTGCAGATCACAGTCCTTACTTGGTATCCAACAGTTGTAACCTTTTGTCAGTAATGTCAATAGATTTTTATTGCAGGACATCCTCGTGTGGTGCAATAACTAGCAAGTTTGTCTCTTAAATACTTATTACTGCAGTGATCTCTATCCCCATAAGGTTCTACAGATATGTATTCTTTTGTCAGACTAAGCTAATTTTTTTTAAAAAAATAATATTATAGAAAAAGAATACGACAAGCTGAGGTCTTTTTTTCATTAAAGAAAACTTAGAAATGAAGGAAATATAAATAAATGATTGCGTTATTTAAAGAAAGGAAAAAAAAACATCAATAAAATGCATTAAAAGTGATTATGGGAAATAAAAAATCTAAATATATAAACAATGAAAAAGATAAATGATAGAAAAAAAACAAAAATCAAAAACATCAAACAGTATAACGGAGAGCTTGAAAGAAAGAAAGAAAGAAAGAAAGAAATAAAAGGAAAGAAAAATGGAAGTGTCAAACAATATGAAAAAAATTCTGAAAGAAAGAAAAGTGGAGACCGTTAAACAATATAAAAGAAATAATAATGAAGAAAGAAAAATGGATAACATTAACCATTAAGAAAGAAAGAAAGAAAGAAAGAAAGAAAGAAAGAAAGAAAAAAAAGAAAGAAAGACGAAAAGAAAGAAAGAAAAAAGAAAGAAAGAAAAAAGAAAGAAAGAAAGATGGAAGCGACAAACAGTATGAAATCCTGAAAGAAAAACGGAGAACGTTAAACTATAAGAAAGAAAGACAGAAAAAGAAAGAAAGAAAAAGAAAGAAAATCAAAAGAAAGAAAGACAGAAAAAGAAAGAAAGACGAAAAGAAAGAAAGAAAGAAAAAAGTAAGAAAGAAAGAAAGAAAGATGGAAGCGACAAACAGTATGAAATCCTGAAAGAAAAACGGAGAACGTTAAACTATAAGAAAGAAAGACAGAAAAAGAAAGAAAAAAGAAAGAAAATCAAAAAGAAAGAAAGACAGAAAAAGAAAGAAAGACGAAAGAAAGAAAGAAAGAAAAAGTAAGAAAGAAAGAAAGAAAAGATGGAAGAAAACAGTAATGAAAAAAAAAACGGAGAACGTTAAACTATAAGAAAGAAAGAAAGAAAAAGAAAGAAAAATAGAAAACATCAAGTACTATGAAAGAAAGAAAGAATGAAAGAAAGAGAAATGGAAAACCTCAAATATTATAAAAGAAAGAAAGAAAGATATAGGAAGCCAATCAATAGAAAAGAAAAGAAATGGGTAACTTTAAACGATATGAAAGAAAGAAAACCAGTTTGCATAAAATAAGAAAAATTAACAAAAAAAAAGAATAACATGCATGTAAGACATTTACTGGCCTATATAGAAAATAATGTTGAAATTTTAAAACCAAATTTATTTTAAAAAAAACAGGTCTTTTCGCTGTCAATTCTGCCATTGAAACGAGTCAATTGCCCATTGAATCCGTTCAAAGCAAGTTTTTCCAGTTTCCATGAGCTGATAATCTAGAATTCTTTTTAAATCCTCGCAAACCTAAAGGAATATTTTTTCTTCAGTAGACTTTTTTTCATGAAGGGGTACTGGAAAGTCCCCGACTCGACACACTTCCCAATATCAGGATAACAGAATTTCTTGTATTTATATATTCTTTGTATGACTACTCCTACGCAATAATACAATGTTCTGAAAAATTCTTATTCATTTAATATCGCTCTTTATTAATAATACGAAGGATTTTGAAGGAGCCTAACCGATTGTTGAAATCATCTGACATTGGCTTTAAAGACTTCAAAAACATGAACTTGCTGCCTTTTGATGGCGAAACAGATTTATGTGATGGTTAAAGTAACTAGTGGTTTGGAGTTCAATTACTGGATCAGGTAATTAAATAATTTACATTAATTCAACTATAATTTTGGTTGGTTGTTTTTGTTTAGCAGCATACCAAACTCTTGGGTTATTTAATGCTGAAATCTATATGTCTTTTCATTTTTTGGAGGTAATAATGGTTTTAGTGATAAAAAACTTACTAACCTATAGCCGGGGGAGAAAATGTGGATTCATACTTTTCCCAAGTAATATTCATACTTCATACTTTTGCACGTAAGTGGATATAAAGAACCCAACTGGAATTAGACCTCGGCTCTCCAATTAAAAATCCCTGCTATTATCCATTACACAACCTGCACATCGAAGCATAATCTTCTGGTATTCTCTAGCGATCATCCATATAAATTCTGACCAGGTTCGACGTTGCTTAACTTCGATGATCTTACTGGGACTGGTGATTCAACGTGATGTGGCTATTACAATTTTTGGATACATTATGTACTAGTGAGCCAGTCCAAATGACTTGACTCATTTTATAGTCCACCAATAGAAGGTTAACCAATCAGAAGACGTAGAATATTCAGTCCGTCGTGTATAAAGACGGCCATTTTGTTTACTCTATCCGAATGTCCAGTCCAGCTTGTCTGGCGAAGACAAACAGAAGGAAGAACTACGCTCTGCTACTTTACCGGGATATCCACTGCTAACCTGAACTACACTTTTTAACTGTCTTCGAAATATTCACTGCTAACTTCTGGATTCTATACTCAAAGACGACCGTCATCATGAACAACAGTGGCCGTAACGTCCAGTTCAACTATAAGTAACAGATAACATTTTTCCAGATGTTATATCTGTAGCATTTACAGATAATAAACAAGATGGGAACAATAATTCGAATAACTTAAAATATAGCGTAGCATCTTCTTCTATGTGTCGTAACCCTTCAAGAGATTGGTGGTCATGGCTCTCCGCGAACTTTTGTTCTTTGTAGCTATTAATAAATTTTGTCTTTTTTGCATTCTCTCTCAAAACCTATTCAGCCATCCATACACTCAATTTCGCCAGGCACCTCATGCGTTGTTTTTCTCTGTATCTCTTGCCTTTAATCTGTTCTGTGAGCATCATTGTCTTGACTCGGCTATAAATGGTGGAATTATATATATATATACTAGCAGCATGGCCCGGCGTTGCCCGTGCTTGATTCAAAAATCGTACGACTCATACAGCAATCGCTATCACTTGACTTAAAATATTTTTGCCCTTCCTTGCCTTTAAAGGAGTGCCCTTTGCCGTGCTGATGTTGCTACATGCCTTACTTCTTGCCTATCTCACACTGCGAATTTTTTTTTTCTAAGCTCTATACTAAACATTAAATCTGTTACGAAAAGGGAACTAAACAAAATGAACACAAAACGATCAGGTTTAAAAAAAAGGACTCGTAACTGGAAAAACCGAATGAAAAAAGAATGTTAACAACAAATACTTTTTCACATCCAACCCAGTTCTGCGGAATCAGAATCCACGTTGCTTTTAAGCAAGCGAATGAGCCAATTGGAGTAAAGTGCCATGCAGATTTAAATTTTTTCCACTTGTGACGAATGCAGCTATCGATTTTTTTTTGCATGCTACTTAACATTCGTGCCAGTCAGCTGTTGGCTCTCACGCTGGCCAATAGAATCTTCCTGCCTATTCGTGGCAGCCAGCTATAAGCTCTCACTCTGGCCAGTAGAAAATGGCCGCAAACTACATGAAAACTGCCGTAGAAGCATGAAAAAATCGATTATTTCCACTATCGATGGGAGTTGGGAAATGCAACGTTGGTCTTGGCCTTTCCCGCTAACTTGGAGCATGTGTATGTAAATTTTGGTGCAAATCCGTCCAAAATTGCGGCCGTGCATTCGTTACACACACACACACACACACACTGCCTTATATATATATATATATATATATATATATATATATATATATAGAGAGAGAGAGAGAGAGAGAGAAAGAGAGAGAGAGAGAGAAAATTGCTGCAATTGACCCGCATCATTTTACTCATCTGCCAATTTCACCAGAGGTTGCACCTTCGAGTTATCTTTTAGCATCGCTAAAGATTCCAAAAGAATGGACAGTTTCTTGTACCGCTCTGTAATTTACAGAACTCCTCCTACCATTATCTATTTTTGCAAGAGCCAGATCAGACCAATAATGGCGTATTAATGACATATCTGAGCCTTGTGGGTGATTCCCTTCTTCAACCCCTTTCCCATCGACTCAAAACTGTTAACCGAAAAACTGTCTATCGGTATTACAGTGGCAAATCTTCAGACGCGTTACATTCTTTAGTCCCCGTACCTTCACAGCAAAGATCTGCCATGTCACTTACACGGCGTCAAATCATCCCCCATTTCCTTCATATCTATTGCGAAAGAGAAAGTTCTATTCAGAGAACTTCTTCACCAGAATTGTCCCATTGTGGGACAGATTCCCGAAAGAATGTTTCCTCCACTACTACAGTCTTAACCTCTTTCAGTCTAGAGTCAACCGATACCATATCATACATATCCGCATCAGAATAATAGGGGAAAAAAATTAAATGCTTGGAAAATTGCAAGACACTTAAAGCAGTTCTTTATTACTTCAAACCTCATTATAGTGGATACTCGTATTTGAAATAGACGTTCCATTTTTTATTTTAACTTTAAAAAGTGTGCATTACGTCTACAGACTTGCTTATCAAGAAATCTTAATAAAGAAAATGTACTCTCCCACTCTACAGAGGAGGACACAGGTTCGATTCCGGCCGGGGGCACATTTTCTTTATTAAAATTTTAAAATTTATTAAATCAGCAGGTTATTAGACGTAATACACACTATTTAAAGTAAAAATAAAAACTGAGGCGTCTATTTCAAATACGAGTATCCACTAGAATGAAGTTTGAAGTAATAAAAATGTTGGATTAATAATAAATCAATTAATTCTTTCGACACTGCTTTATTTACGTTTCGGATACTAAACTTAGCAGATATGTATTTCGGGAAAGTATATATTGGCTTGGAAGTGTGCTTTTCTTGAAAGTCAAAACAGAGTTTTACTGTACGTTGACGCTCTTCGTAGCCGATCGGTAAAGCACAACGGATCAAACAGTGGTTTATTCTAAAACGGATGAAGCAGGTTCGATTCTTGCCGGAGAATACATTCCCTTTCTTAAAATTTTCTCGAATAGGCAGCTCGATGGACATAATACACATTGTTTAAATAAAAATAGGGAGTCTATTTCAAAGACGAATATCCACTATAATAACGTTTTGAAGTAATAACAATGTCTGATTAAAAATAAAACCATTAAACAGCTCTTAGCCAGAAAAAAACGGAGGAATTAAGGATATGCTTGAAAAAAAAAAAAAACAAAACAGGAGACCATTCTTTTTCTTCTATGTGACGTGTCACTTCAGGAGGTTGTCGATCACGGCTCTCCATGATTTCCCGTCCTGCTCCGCCATCAATTCACTCAAGCTCGCCAGGTTGTGCAGGTCTCTCTTACTTCCAATCCTCAATGTCGTGTGATTATCAAACGACATTCTTAGCATCAGTCAATTTTGTGCCATGCGTGATGCATGCTTAAGCGATCGTATCTTTCGATACAAGACTGACGAGGCAGATTTTTTCCCGCAGTATTAGCACGTAAGTGAATGTAATGGATTCTAATGGAATTTGAACTCGGCTCTCCTATTCCTCAATCCGAGCCGTTACCGATTACGCCACCGCACCTATTCTTAGAATACTGAAACATAATAAGTGTGATATTGAATGTTGGAAAAAGAAAAGCTTTTTAAACGTCTTTCATTTTATCTTTATAAACGGGACGAACTTTTTCAGGCCATCCAATATATCATTTATCTCTCTCTCTCTCTCTCTCTCTCTCTCTCTCTCTCTCTCTCTTAAAAAAAAAAAGAAATCCTTGCTCTTTAATTTTTAGACAGACTTTTGGACAGATAATCCGGAAACACAAAATGTAAAAGATAGGAACGCCCAATTTCACGCTTAACTGGCAAAACACAAAACAAAAACAAAGAAATTTGAAAGATTAATGGATGGATGTTTGCGTTGTTTGTATGCAAATATGTGGGCGCATGCGCGTACAGATGAGTATGAAGATGGGAATATCGAAAGCACGAGAATGAGAACGAGGCTTGATAAAACCGTCTTTTTCAATTACTAAAACTTCGTTAATTTTTATGATATTTTTTTTAAAGCCAATCTGCCCACATATTTCTTGCTGTCCAATTTATCCAAGCAAAGAAATGTGCTTAAAAAATAACGT